TGGAGGCAGCTGTATGATAAGGGATTGGTGTACCGAGGTGTGAAGGTGATGCCGTTCTCCACCGCCTGTAACACGCCGCTATCCAACTTCGAATCTCACCAGAACTACAAGGTGAAGTGTCGGCACATTGGCGCTCTTGGTGCGTCGCTCCATTCTTCTCATGCTCGCTGTGTTTATTACTCAGGATGTCCAAGATCCGTCCGTCATCGTCACCTTCCCCCTACTGGAGGAGCCCACTGTGTCACTGGTAGCCTGGACCACCACGCCATGGACTCTGCCCAGCAACCTGGCACTGTGTGTCAACCCCGACCTCACCTACATCAAGCTCAGAGGTGAGTGCGGCTCTGGGGTCACGGGGGGCTCTGGGGTCACGGTGGGCTCTGATCTATTGTGTCTGGGGTCACGGGGAGCTCTGGGGTCACGTGGGCTCTGATCTATTGTGTCTGGGGTCACGGTGGGCTCTGATCTATTGTGTCCGGGGTCACGTGGGGCTCTGATCTATTGTGTCTGGGGTCACGGGGAGCTCTGGGGTCACGTGGGCTCTGATCTATTGTGTCCGGGGTCACGGGGAGCTCTGGGGTCACGGTGGGCTCTGATCTATTGTGTCTGGGGTCACGGGGAGCTCTGGGGTCACGTGGGCTCTGATCTATTGTGTCCGGGGTCACGGGGGGCTCTGGGGTCACGGTGGGCTCTGATCTATTGTGTCTGGGGTCACGGGGAGCTCTGGGGTCACGTGGGCTCTGATCTATTGTGTCTGGGGTCACGGTGGGCTCTGATCTATTGTGTCCGGGGTCACGTGGGGCTCTGATCTATTGTGTCTGGGGTCACGGGGAGCTCTGGGGTCACGTGGGCTCTGATCTATTGTGTCCGGGGTCACGGGGGGCTCTGGGGTCACGGTGGGCTCTGATCTATTGTGTCTGGGGTCACGGGGAGCTCTGGGGTCACGTGGGCTCTGATCTATTGTGTCTGGGGTCACGGTGGGCTCTGATCTATTGTGTCCGGGGTCACGTGGGGCTCTGATCTATTGTGTCTGGGGTCACGGGGAGCTCTGGGGTCACGTGGGCTCTGATCTATTGTGTCCGGGGTCACGGGGGGCTCTGATCTATTGTGTCTGGGGTCACGGGGGGCTCTGATCTATTGTGTCCGGGGTCACGGGGAGCTCTGGGGTCACGTGGGGCTCTGATCTATTGTGTCCGGGGTCACGGGGGGCTCTGATCTATTGTGTCCGGGGTCACGGGGGGCTCTGATCTATTGTGTCTGGGGTCACGGGGGGCTCTGATCTATTGTGTCCGGGGTCACGTGGGGCTCTGATCTATTGTGTCCGGGGTCACGGTGGGCTCTGGGGTCACGGGGGGCTCTGATCTATTGTGTCCGGGGTCACGGTGGGCTCTGATCTATTGTGTCCGGGGTCACGGTGGGCTCTGATCTATTGTGTCCGGGGTCACGGGGGGCTCTGTCCGGGGTCATGAGGTCACGGGGGGCTCCGTCATCCTGCAGAAGATAATAATGATTGTTTTGCAGATAAGTCCAATGGCAATCTCTATATTCTGATGGAGGCGAGACTCTCTGCGCTGTACAAGGCTGCCGACGAATATGAAGTCCTGGAAAGGTAACATCCGGGGTCATGAGGTCACGGGGGGCTCCGTCATCCTGCAGAAGATAATAATGATTGTTTTGCAGATAAGTCCAATGGCAATCTCTATATTCTGATGGAGGCGAGACTCTCTGCGCTGTACAAGGCTGCCGACGAATATGAAGTCCTGGAAAGGTAACCAAAGATCCCACCATTCTGCTCAACACTTCTATACAAGGCGGAGTCAGGGGGCGGGGTTTACCTGTGCACAGTTATACAAGGCGGAGTCAGGGGGCGGGGGTTACCTGTACACTTCTATACAAGGCGGCG